TCTCCTCTCTGCTCAGACCTTGCCATCGTGAGGCACCCACGGCCGTGGTATCCGCCTTCCATTCTTAACCAAAGCCCTACGGTCACTCTGACACCATGTCTTCCATGGCCACAGGAGAACTACTGAGGTGCACAGGTGTCAGGGTCATGCAGGACCAGGAGGAACATTCATGGAGCTTGCTTTCACTTCTGCTCTGCATCCCATCCTTGCTGCCTTCTAGGTTTGGAGGGCATCATGTGTAAGTGGCCTTCTGGGCCTCCTGTCCTCTGCTGTGGAATGGCACTATCCTTAGAGCAAGATAGCCGGCCTCCTTCTCAGGTTAACTGTTCCGACTTGCATCAGGAGCCAATCTGGGAACCATGACCCAACCTCTGAGAAGAAGGGGGGAGTGTGGGCCAATGTACCCTCAGATGAGACTACAGGCACTCCTTCTTGTCATTTGTATGCAGTTGTGCCCTAGCTGTATGTGGTGTGGGATCTCAGGGAGGGGCTGGAGTATGTAGGTTGGGGGAGAATAGAGAATAGATATTCTAACTATGTAGTCGTTGTCTTTGCTGGGTACTGATCTTCCAGTGCAGTTGCTTTAGGGTCATCCATGCTCCTGTCCATAAACCCCTCACCCATATTCTGTAATTAAGCCTAATGAGCTCATTGGTCCTCTATGGTAAATTTTGGTAAACTCAAAATTCTTTGGGCCCTCATGCTTCCCCTTTAGGAGGAATTTCCACAATGTCTGCTCGTTGTTGAGAATGATCATCAACTAAATAAGGGAATGTTTAGTTATTTAATGTATTGGTGAAACCAAAGACACAAAGACAGGCCATAAAAGATTTGTGGTCATGACATAGCAACTAAGCTAGTGGTTTCCAGTCAAGGACACCTATGCCCCAGAGAAGACTTGGCGATGTCTGGAGGTGACTTTTGGTTTGCATGATTGGGGAATGAACTGCTCTAGACACCCAGTGAGTGGGCAGCTGGATGCTGCTAAATCAGCTCAAGTGGAAGAGAAGCCCCTACCACCATAAACACACATACCGAAGACTGGTCCAGTCCCTCCATCAAGACTGTCCGGGCTGAGCAGCTCTGAGATGAAAACTGTAAAAGGCTCTGGAGAAATTAATGGGTGTTATAGCGTGCTAATGCACCTGTCTTCATATGTAAATAGAGGGCAGGGAAGCTCTCATGACCACAAGTGGAAGAGAAACTGCTCATTCTCCAGAAGCCCAAGGCAGGTGATAGACTGCTGGGGCCATCCATAGCTGTGTTTGTGGACCTCTGGCCCAGACCAAGGAGATGAAAGAAGCAGCATGGAAGTCAGTGGTGCATTTGAAAGGGGCTTGTCCAACGTGAAACCATGTGGGAGAATTAGGAATACATGAGCACCTTGGAAATACTGGCGAGTAGGAAGAATGCATTGGCAGGACATCCCCTGCGGGCAGGCCCTTGAGGAATTAGAGAGCAGCAGGCATGGTGTCTTAGGAGTATCAGGAAGAGCAGGGCTGAGGAGAAGAGGCAGGAAATCTGATGAGACAGCATTTCCTCCTTGAAGCATGGAGCATGTGACAGAAGGTTCCTTCCCACACGAAGCTGTGTGCTCATGCAGGACAGGAGTGAGCTGCGTCAACACAAGGACAGGGCTGGGCCTCTGGATTCAGACAACTTGGACTTTTAACATTTTCATTAGGAAATTAGCAGTAAAATCTCCAAAATGAAAGAGGGGCATGTGTGCACTAAGCACATGTTTTGTGGCCATCTGGTAAATCTAGATCAAGCCGGCTGAAATGCCCAGACTTTTGAAGCTTACATTTTTGCATAAGGGAAGGGTGGAAGCTGTGTATAAGGGAAATGCACTTACATGAATTTCAATGAGAATGTGTTGGCAGGGAGCAATGGCAGACAAAGACAGGTACCTGAAAACCAGATCATCAGAACATCTGAGGGGATGGTAGGAACTTAGACCACAGGCCTGGGAAGGAGGAAAGTCACTAGGGAAAATGCTGTAACCCAGACATTATGTGTCCAGCATGTGAAGCATAGAAGCCATGTGTGGAACACAGCTGGGTGGACTGGAGTCGGGTCAAGGAGGGCCTTGTAGGTGGGGGAAGGTTTAGGATGTGCTGTGGATGTGGCCATCTTGAGTACACTGTATTTACCAAGAAGGAAATGGACTAAGAATGAGGCTCAATGGGGAGAACCAGGTAAGACTCAGAGGTGGTGTTCACCCCAGGCAGTGTTGGGAGTGGGTGAGGAGCGCAAGTGGCTTGGGATTCTATTTGTGAAATCTGCCGCTAGACGAACTCTAGAAACTGGCTCAGTGAACCTCCCCTTATTTAGATCCTTCACCCCTTGGCCACATCAGTGAAGACTGGGACAACTCTGCCCCAGTGTGTGCCCATTCTTGGAGAGCAAAGTTTTTTATGACTCTGGGGATGAGCTATAGAGGAAGGGAGAGAAGGAAGGCTCCAGAAAGCCTTTAGCATTGTCTTGACTGGCTGTTGCAGTTGCTGTCATTTCCATTAGGGTAGGAAGACATATGATGGTCTCTCAAAACAAAGGGTCAGGGTGAGTGGATCTGGGAAGGTCAAGCTACTTTTTGGGTATCCAAAAGGAGCTTGGGTCAACCAACACACAGTGAAGAACTCACTAGTAAGGCTGAATGTCTGTTAATCATCAAGCATTCATGTATTTATTTTTATAACCCTCCGCCAAACACCAAGAGCTGCTCCAGGCATGGAGATATAGTGGTCTCTTTCAAGCCCCTCACAGCCAGCCCTGCTAATGTGTTAAAGAGATCACACCTTGTGACAATGGATCACGGAGACAATTGAAATGGAGACAAACAGCCAAGGAAATCCCAAAGTATTACTTCATGTCAAAAACCATCCCCTCAGTCTGGGTGCTAGCTCAGTCAGTAAGGTGCTTGCCTTGGTCAGAACCCCTGCAGAACAGTCATGCTTGGTGGCACAGGGGCAGAGGCAGGATTCTGGAGCTTGATGGCCACCCAGTCTAGCCCGTCTGACAAGTTCCAGGTTCAGTGAGAGGCCTGTTTCAAAAAGAATGAGGTGAAGAATGATTCAAAAATAACCCCAATGTTGACCTCTGGCCTACTTATGTGGATGTGCACAAACATCCGCATGAACATGCATGTGTGCACACACATTTCTTTACTTCTAAAGCCTTGTGTATAACTTCCCTCCTAAAGGCCCTGAGAGAGTGAGAGATTTGCTGTGTTCTGACAGGCTCCCCTACACCTCACTGCTGTAGAGCAACCTAGACAGGTGTGTACAGAAGTAACTATAGGCTAACTCTGGGCAGAGGTGAACAAAGGAGGAACAAGGGGGTGGTTTGTCAGGACTGGGGTCTTCTTTAATCTTTCTCAAGTTCATGCTTTTATACAGTGGCCTCACACAATTGTTAAAGTTGAACTGAGAAAGCACGCGAGAGTTCTCAATACTGTTGAGGGTGTTGAAATGATCCCGAGCTGTGGACGCTCCTGCAGTCAGAGGAGGAGAGTCCAGACAGGACACGAAAGCCACAGTGGTAGGTTGCGATGAGTTGAATGGCACCCAGAGGAGCATGTGTGTCGGGTAAAGGGGCTTATGAAGGTGCCAAGGCTGTGGCTAAGACTAAGAGAAAAACTCAGTCTCTTTGTTTTTGTTTGAGGTCCTTTGGGAATTTGCTTGGTTGATATCTGTCTTAGTTGGGTTTCTATTATCAATCAAATAAAGATTAACATTCAATTTCTATCCCAGGCAGGAGGTGGGAAAGTGTGTGCTAAGGAGGCCATGGCTCTAGCTCTCTGAGGTATGACTACGTGAAGTAGGCTCTATGGGCTTGGGGTGTAGCTCAGTTGTCGAGTGCTTTCCTAGCATGTGTGAAGCCCTTGGCTATCGCGCAGCCTCACAAAAACCAGCTGTGGTGCTTCATGACTCTAATCTCAAACTGGGAAAAGGGAGGCAGGAGGATTAGAACTCGAAGGTCATCCTTAGCTACATACCGAGTTCAAGGTTAGCAGGGGTGATATAAGAATCAAGAGATAGATAGATAGATAGATAGATAGATAGATAGATAGATAGATAGA